CTTTTTTTTTAATATGTTTCTGCTTTTTTTTTTTTCTTTTTTTGTTTCCCCTTCTCCCTCCCTGTTTTTATTTTCTTTCTGGTTTTGTTGTTGTTTTTTTTTTGGCAAAAGGATTAACTTGCTTTTAGTGTTTGTACTGCTGCTGGTCAGGCCAGAAAAGATATTGAAGTGTTTTAAAAAGAATTTAAACCCAGGAAAAATAAATCCCCTTTTCCAGTGCTGTCCCACCACCAGTCCCTTGGGAAGCCGAGCCCTTCCACCCCCCTGTGTTTTGTTGGTCTTTTTTTATTATTATTATTTTTACCCTTTTTCTTTGCTTTCTGGGGCATTTTCTGCTCCAGTCAGGTTGTTGTGGGTGTTACGGTGTCAGATGGTGTCTCAGCCTTGAACAGTCTCCACCTGCCAAATTCAAAACCCAAAGGAATTGCGCCGAGAGGGCTGGAGGGTTTGGGGGTGGGTGGCACTGGGGTGTCCTTGTCCCTCTTCCCAAAATACCAAGACAATCAGAGCAGTGCTAAGGCAGTCTGGGCAGGGGGAAAGAGGGTCTCTGTGAGTCTGTTGGTGGCACCATGGGGACATTCCAGGTTTGAGCTGTGCCCGCTGGCGGGCAGGGATATCCTGGTGCCACCAGGATGGGGTGACAGGGTCAGGCTTGGTGCCATTTTTAGCCTCTTTCTAACCTATCGTGTGCCCCAACTCCCCCAGGGAAGCCTTTTTTTATTATTATTTTTAAATTATTTATTATAAATTGTTTTTAATTCGCCACGAGACCGGCTCACATCTCCAGGAAAAGGTGACCTCTGCTTCCTGCTTTAAATTCCCTTGTTGCACTTGCAAAGAAAGCATTAACCCTCCCCAACCCCCCTCTGCTCCCCGCTCTCCCATTGGCTTCACCAAATATAAAAAGCTGTGCAAGATTAAAAAGCAAAATGCCCTTGTGACAGAAATTAGTTTAATCTTTTTTAAATCCCCAATTGCCTCGCCAGCCTCTGGCCTCGCCGCTGCCAACTCCGGGCTTCACAGGGAATTTTAACACAGCAAAATACTCGTTGCTGCACTCTTTTCCCTTCCTGTGTGCTGTGGTGGAGGGGGGGAAGAAGCCAGGGATGGAAAATCGATGGCAATTTATCCCTCACCGCGATGAGGAGCCTGGCTGGGATGTAGCCTCGCTTTGTAGCACCTCCTGTCCTGACTTTCTGTCCTCACCAGCCCAGAATCAGTTTTTTTGGACCAATTTCTCAGCATTTCTCCTCCCCTTGGGGCCATGGTGAGCGGTCGTGTCCGTACACACCCCGTGCAGAATTGCTGGAGCAGCTGTGCCAGAGCCTGGGATGGCTGGGAGGAGGGAGAGGAAGGCAGAGCCTGCTGGGGGCAGGTTAGATGCTGTGAAAGAAAGCAAAAAAAAAACCCAAAAAAGGAGAAAAACCAACCCTAAACATGTTCAAAGTGTACTTGTTGGAATTAATTGTAATGTAATATATTATTTGTTGAATGTAGTAATTAGGTATTTATGAATATATTGCTGTAATTTCTGAAAACATCCAAAAACCAAAATAAACTCTTCCACAATGACGGCAACGGATTCTTTCTCCGCCGCCGGCAATGGGAACGCAGCCCTGCTCCGAGCATTCCCAGCCCTGCTCCAAGCATTCCCAGCAGCTCCTGCCATCATTCCTGCTGTCCCAGCCCTTTGGGGATGCAGCAGAGGCAGGCAGGGCACAGATGGCAGCAGGAGCCTGGCCCAGATGCTCGGGGAAGGGCAGCGCTCGCAGCCTGGCACCCTCGGGCTCGAGGAATAATTACATCTGCCATCAGCACAGCCTGGCTCCGGCCAGGATCCTGCTTGGATCCTGCCCTGGATCCTGCCCTTGCCTGTCTCTCTGCTGCAGGGAATTGGGGCTGGAGCCAAAGGAGAGAGCTGCAGGTTTTTCCAAGCATTGTTTAACCCGTGTGTGACACCACACAGGGATTAATTTGATGCTGCTCACCCAGCTGCAATTATTTTTTTATTATTATTTTTATTTTTTTTTATACACAGTTGCAGATTAAAAAGGCAAAATATTTAAAAAAAACCCAGTCAGATGTATATTTCCCAATAGCCTGGCTTTGGAGAGGGAAAACCATTTTCTTTGTCCTCCAAAGAGCAGATGGATCTGCTTCCCAGCTGATCTCCCCAGCAGACACCTCATTGCCGGCACATCTTCCCCTTTTTTTTTTTTTTCCCAAGGCTCTGAGAAAATCCATGGCGAAGCACCGCCTCGAAATTTATGGCTTTCAAGGCAGTGTGTGGCCTGTGCTGCCCTCAGAAGTTCCCTCGCTGAAGTACAACCACAGGAGAGATCCCGCCCAGCCTCATTAGAGCCCAGCAAGGCACCTCCCGCACCGAGCCCCAGAGCGGCTCCCAGGGACGCTCCGGTGCCATCGGAGCAATTCCCACCCGGCTGTGAGGCCGTGCAGCTGCTGCCGAGGGAGGATGAGGGTCGGGAGGTCTGTGCAGGGAGGTGGGGACTGGCCAGATGAAGGCCCAGGGGTGAGGAGCAGAGCCCTGCTCCCTTCCAGTTCCCGCTCAGAAATCCTGGGAGTGGGCACTCTCGCCAGGCTGGAGGTTAGTCCGGAGCTTGTACATGTGATCCAAGGCTTGAGTAAGGAAAGTCCCGGTCGTGTTGATCTCCATCAAGGTTAAGTTATCCAGCTAAAAGGGGAAGTAACAGAATCTTGGGAAGCAGCAGAGGACAAGGCACTTGGGAAGCAGCTCACAGCCCACATTTCCCCTTGGATGACATTCCAAGGGACCGACCCAGCTGCCACCCCAGTTAGGAGAAGCACCTGAGCACCAAGAGTACTATTTCAAGAGCATTCCCCATCCCTGGAAGTGTTCAAGGCCAGGCTGGATAGGGCTTGGAACAACCTGGTCTAGTGGAAAGTGTCCCTGCCCATGGCAGGGGGTGGAACTACATCTTTAATATCCCTTCACATGCAATCCATTCCATGATTCTCTGGTTTCCATAAGGCACAGGGAGCTGCCACAAGCCCGAAAAGCGAGGGTTCAACACAGGGCTTTAGCTCCCAACTGACGCACCAACAACCCAGGAAAAACATGCCCCAGCCAGCCTTTTCCCAGCAGCTCATTCTCCATCCATCACCATCCCACACAGCAGCTGGAGCCCTTCCAGCCTGGCTCTGTCAGGGCCATCCCAGCACATCCCCAGCACACCTTGGCGTGAGCCTCCTGCTGCCGCACGAAGCTGTCCGCGGACAGCCGCAGCTTGGCCATCCTGGTATCCCACGTATCCTTCACCAGCGTCCGGATCTCGTCGGCTTTGGGAATGTTGTCTGAGGCACTAGAAAAGGGAAAGAAAAGAGAGGATCAGAACAGGCTGCAAGGGACGTGTATGTTGTGTCACCGGCGTTGTCATGTTGGCAGCGCCCCACTCCTCCGAGGCACTCGCAGAGCAGTTTGCTACGGAGAAAAAAAACCCTGCAACTCCACATTAAAATCCAGTCTGGTACTTGTGCTGCTGGGATTTCTGGGATGGTTTATTTACCCAGGAATGCTCAGCTCTTATGCAGCATCTGGTTCTCGCTAGAATCCTTCTGCTCTGTAATTGCCCAGCTGGTGTGAGGTGCACAGAGGGCCAATAACCTGGCCAAAGTCACGGGCAGCTGGGGAATCGAAGGGCTTGGCCGCGATTAAAGCTCCGGCTCGGGGCTCCCGGGGCTCCATCAGGGAGAATTAAGCTGAAAGGGCTGTGCGAGATGTGCCACATCGTCCCATTAAGGCCATTCAGCGCTGCCATAAGGACCTTGAGAGATCCGATCGATTCGCGTGGACAGAGCTGTCAGGGTTGTTGTAGCGTGAGGGAGGGAGCCGCAAGCCAAGAGCCTCATCTCCAGAGGAAAAGCCAGAGCTGGAATGACCACCCTGCTTAATCGAGGGCTTAAAGTCACCAGAGCCCGCACTGAGCAAAATACCAGCCAGCACATTTTACAAGTGAAATGCCTCAGCAGGCAGGAGCTCAGGCTCGGAATATCCCCGGTCTCCTGCTTCTCAGGCTGAGGAAAGAGGAGCTTTCCTCCTGAAGGAGAGCCAAGGAAGAAGCCTGGAGGGTTTAGGCTGCTGAACAGATTGCAGCCGTGGAACGTGTTGCGGATCCTCCAGGCCTCCACGCTGAGCTGCTGCTCAATAAAGCGGCACAGCCCCAATTACGAGGCCACAGAACAAGCAATCCCCAAGTTACTGAAATGCAAAGTTACCATGAGGAAACTGCTGCTGTGAAATCTTGGCAGGCTGTGAGATAAAACTCCGTTAACTCCCGCTCTTCCCGCCGCCCTCCGGGGCTGCTGCCAACCAAGGCTTGAAAGATTGTCCGTGCGAGCACGTACTTGGATGGAAAATGCCACAGCTCAGCTCCTACTCACTAGTTCAACAGCAGCTTGGTGAGTTCCATGTAATAGGGACTGGGCATCGGAGTGAATGTGTCCTCTTTCCGTTCCTGGTCCCGGATT